GTCCTCCTTCTGGATTGACCCCTGTTGTTCTCTTCATCTTAATATAAAGTCTCATTCAATAGAAAGAGCATAGACTATGTGTTCTATTGAGTGTAGTTTGATTATGGCGAAGAGATATTTTTATCTTACCTCTTTCAAGGTACAGTAATAAAATAATACCAATCTTGTTAGATGTTATAATAATAAAAGAAGGCAGCATATGCACATATGCAAAATGTCCAGAACTGGATCTGTTCCACTTTAAGGAATACATGTAAGCCACAAATAGCTTACATCTATTATATCTTTATAGTAAATTAAACTTCTTCATATCAAAGCAAAAGAATGGACTGGCTGACCAAAATTCCTGCTTATTAAGGACAGTCCTACTCAATGTTATTATCTGGTTAAAATAATAATAGTCTCACCATTCATTTTTAAAAGTTTTTCATGGCCAGGCACTGGTGGGTCATGTTTATAATCCTAGCTACTCAAGAACCTGAGATCTGGGGATTGTGGTTCACAGCCAGTTTAGGCAGGAATTACATGAGACTATTTTTTTTAATTTAATTTTATATAAAGATGCTGTACAAAGGGGTTACGGTTATATGAGTAAGGCAATAAGGACATTGCTTGTGGAGCATTAACCACTAGAAAATAGGAAGTGGTACTGTGGCCTAAATATGTAGAGTACTAGCCCTGAGCAAAAGAGCTCAGAGACAGTGCCCAGGCTTCTAACTCAAGCCCTGTGACCACCCCCCTCCAAAAAAATGTTTCATTATACATGAGAAGCTATATGACCTATCAGACAAAGATCATCACCCCAAATTACCTGTACCTCCATCAGAATGTAAATGAAAACAATTCTTATTTTCTGATTTTAATTATTTTGCTTTATTTTCTTATTTTAATTATTTAGTTTTACATATAGTCCATATATCTTCTCCTTGCAAAGTCACTATTATCACTTTCTGCATCTACTTCACAAAACTCACTTTTCTTCTGTAGTCAAAAGGGAGACTTGGGAAGATTGGCTGTCACTGTGAGAGGTTCATGAGTTTTTCCTTAGGCTCTCCTCTGACTTGATTGGAGGTTGCCTCAGGTATTTGCTAATTGTATTGCTAGTTACCTCCAGATTTTTGGAGTTATTATTCTCCCTTGATCCAAAACTGCTATATCATATAGGGTATAGAGAAGAGGGAGAGTAGGAAGACTACTACATGTTCTGCTCTCTATGTATAAACTGCCTACTCTTGACTTTGCCACCAAACCACTTATGAAAATGGTAAGATTACATCATAAGAAGCAAGAGACTGTTTCAAAGTTAACTGGTGAATATGGACACTCCAAAGTTCAAGGAAACACACACACACACACACACACACACACACACACCAGGTACCCTGCACATCCTGGAAGTGTTCTCTGGTCTTAAAATCCTTTCTCACTTCCCCAGAAATACTTTTTTTTAATCTCTAAGTGAAAATCACTTTAAACTAGGAGAAATCTTACCTCTGTGCAAAATGTTTGTTTTTACTATAGAAGCCATCCTTTTCAACCTCAACCTGAAAAACTGCAAGGAATGAAAATCAATGCAACATTTTAATTCAGACTTTGAAGTATTTATCTGGAGTGTCATCAGAAAAGCAGAACTACTGTGGGTGTGGGGTGTGTGCGTGTGGGGGGTGTACATTTAAAGGGGAAGCATGCATTATATTGTAGCCCTACAGGATTTCTTTGGGTGAAGTGAAAGCATATTTTTATTTGTTTTTATGGTCTTCAATCTTTATAGTTTTCTATGATTATATTTAGAAAGTGCACATGCATATACAAACTCACATTCATGTATACGTTTTAAGCTAATTAATCTATTTTTGAGCAACTGCAGAGTAACTGAAGTGACTTGAAAGTGTGGAAAGAGGCTTTTTTCCTCCCAAAGCATAATTACTTACAAAGCTTGTCCCACCTAAATGTAGATTTTATAATATATAAAACCATTTCTGTAATTTTATACACTCTTTCTACATTTCTCAGAGAGATTCCATGCTATTTTAAAAGGGATAATTACAATATTCCTTCTATTTAATTACTGTCTATCTCCTGGCAGGAAACAAGTGGCTATCGAATGAAGCAGCTGAGGAAAACAGAGTTAAGGGAAAGACAATATGCATGGTTTAGTATTTGTGCTAGTCATAGGCAAGGGCCTGAAAGTTGTTAGAAGTACAGTTATTGGAACCCAAAGAAAGTAGTTGCAGACAAATGCTTTCCACAGGAACTTCACTTCTGGAGAGAAGGCACCAACTTGAACTGATCCATAGAAGGAATCTAGTAGAATAAGCCTCTGTTCTCTGTCTCCTCATGTCCTTTTTTTCTGTTCCATTCTCTCATGTATCCAATACAACATGAACCAGGAGGAAAATGAAACAGCCCTTTTGTTATTAGTTCCCTAGGTATTCAAAAGCTTAAAAGGGATAAAGAGGGACTCTGCAAAACAAATGGAAACGTTCCCTTACATCTCCACTTCCAGTTCAAGATCATGGAATGAATAAAACTGTTTTACAAGACTCTGTTCTCAACCAATAGCTGAGCATTGTGGCTTGTACTTGTCATACTAGCTTTGTGGGAGACAGAGACTAGGGAAGACTGCATATCCAGGCCAGTCTGGGAAATCCAGTCTTTGAGACTCTATGTCAATGGAAGTAGTTAGGTGGTTGCAGTATGGTCTGTCATCTAAGACACCATGGAAAGCTTAGGATCATGGTCCATATGTGTGTGTGTGTGTGTGTGTGTGTGTGCAGGAAGTGGCTTTTATTTATGAAATAGTTCAAAAAAATCTGGAGGCATGGCTTCCCAGTAGAGTTTCTTCCTAGCAAAGTCTAAGAACTTGAATGCAAATACCAGAACTTCCAAAGGGGGAAGGGCACTTACTATAAAGAACTTTAAAAGCCTAATTCTTTTTTTTAAAAGGACACCATTAGATGGAAGGTCTCAACTCAATTAGAGAAGACAGACATTTCTGGACAAAGAGAGAGGAGCAGAAGATGATGGCATGTAGAACCCTCGCCTCAATTAGCAGAAAGGTGGCTGCCAAACCAAAGTCTTCAAAGACTGCAAGCCACTGTGGCTGGTCTGAAGGAAGTACATGCTAAAGGAGTAGGGCTGAAAATATACAAGTTATTTAAAGGTTTTAAGTAACCAGCATAAATAGCTGTGCAATTATTTAAAAAAAATTGAAAGGTGGTGCAAAGCAAACTGTCATCATTTATTGCAGAAAGTCAATAAATAATGTCTACAGTTCATAAATCGGGAAGTAGCAACATTAACATATTATTTATAGATTTGGAGGTAACCACAGAAGAACTAAATATAGAAACAACAGTTATAAGTGATACCTTTGGGGAGGTAAACAGAGAGTTAAGAGAGCTTGGGTTGTGGGTCAGTAGCTTCTCCTTGCTAAGTCTTCTCATAGAAATGACTTTCAAAAAAACCCACTGGCATAAATGGTTTCAGTACATTCTCCTTTCTTCCTTCTGTTTTGCTCCATTTAGTTTACTTGCTTTCTAGAAATTAACTTCTAAGCATGATAAGGTCTATTACCTGTCCAAAACCTACCAATGAATCACATTTTCTTCTGTACTTTCTCTTCATTATTCTTTATATTTCTCACTATGCCTTTTAACTTCTTGTTCCCTCTTAGATACACATAAGCCACACACACATATCTTTTTTAAAATGCACTCAAGTGCCTTTTTTAGTAAACTGTTTGCCACTCTTAAGACTCACAACTCTTTCTTTGACCTGAAATGGTTTTATCTATAGCCTTCAGCACTCAGGCTAAATTCTAACTCCTCTGTGAGCTACTTTTGGTTCCTAAGAATAAAAAAAAAAGATTTGTTTTCTATAACTACCTAACACTAGATCATCGTTTGACACTACTAACATTCTGCAGTATTTTGTAACTAACTGTGTACACATTTGGCTCTTTGTTTGCCTATGAAAATTTTATGTTCTGTAGTGAAAGATTTTTTTTACTCATATATAGTGCAGTTAGTATATCTTGCACTTAGAAATTGAAATATAGTAAAAGGTGAAAGATTTATATATCTGAAGAGGGATAGGAAGGGGAAACAAAAGGGGAGGCAACAATGCTTGATAAGAAATGTACTCATCATCTTACCCATGTAATTGTAACCTCTCTCTACAGTATTTTCACAGTAAAAATAAAGAAATTGAAATATAGGGTAAACACTACAACAATAATTGACATTTTGGTAAGTGTTGATTTTGAAGTTTCTGAAGATTGTGAAATGAGTATTCTACATCATTAATGGGAGTAGTCTTTTTATTGAGGTGCCTATTAATACTTCTATTTCTTAGCAAAATCTCAAACTAAACAGTATTTTGTTCCTTGTTAATTTTAGTGCATTTTCCCACATTCTAATTATATATATACTGATTATGAGGTTATAAGGAATAAGAAATTTAATAAAATAATGTCCATAAATAAACAGGCTGCTATTGATTTTATAAGAGAATTTCTATTATATGAAGCCTAGAAAAAGAAAATTCTTACTCTAGGAACTGAATCAATAATAAAGTTCCTGCATCCCCAGCTGCCGTTTGAAATGAAGGAGGGTCTCTAAGAGACCTGAGATCATGGTATGTAACACTTATGTCATGGTAATGTGTACTCTAACTCATTTTAAATAAAGCAAAACAATGTTTTGAAATAATATTTTCCCATTGGAACAAATATATTTGACATTATGATTACTAAACATAGCGTATACAGAAATGCTAACAATGTATAGTATAGTGCTCTATACTGTGATAGTATAGGGCTACCAGATGTGAGTTTGAACATTTTTATTCTACTTCCTCATTTGGGTTTCAACATTATTTCCACTTCTTGGATTGTGCTTAATATCCCTCTGTTTTTATTTTTTATAATTAACTGCTGACTGGAATTTGATCTACATCAACAGAGAAGAAACTATAATTTTATTTCTTCTTTACTTCAGGAAATGCTACAATAAAGCAATCACGATATAGGATTATCATTCAAGAAGCAGCCAATGGAGGCCAAGAGTGTCCAGATACCTTGTATGAAGAGAGAGAGTGTGAAGATATCCCAGTATGTCCTGTATATCGGTGAGTGATTGATTTCACCTTCAAATTATCACTAGATCTGAGTGTAACTCACAACTTTCACATACTGTAAGTCTTTTCCATGAATAATGAAATAAGGCAGTGTTATGCATCTTCAACTAATACTTCACTGTTTTTCCTTCTTGGGAAACTGGATTGTTTTTGAAAGGGGCAAAAAAAATGAATGTTTAGTTAATAGAGAAAAAAATCTAAAAATGTTTGATATAAATGAGCTACTGAACTTCTGTGAAAGCAATTTTCTGGATTATGATCCAAATATATTCAAAATGAGTTCTGTACCTTAGGAAGAATCACATACACACATAGCATGCAAATAAGCACTCACAAATAAACTTGGATTTTCTGGAATATTATTCAGAGACAAGTTTTAAGTACACAAACCATAGTCTTCCTCATGATTCATAAAAATATGTAAAAGTAGATCCATGAAAATATATGTACCATCTTTTGAGGAAGCTCCATACTGGTTGAACAAGTTTACACTTCCATCAACAGTGTAGCAGGGTTCCTTTTTGGCCACATCCCCTCCTGCATCTGTTGTTATCAGATTTCTTGATTATAGCCATTCTAACTGGGGTCAGGTGGAATCCCAGTATTGTTTTGATTTGAATTTCTTTTATGGCCAGAGAAATTGAGCATTTCTTCATGTGTCTATTGGCCATTCTTATTCCCTCTTCAGAGAAGTACCTCCTTTAGTCTGTAGCCCACTTATTAATGGGGCATTTGCTTCTTTGAGGATTTGTTTTTGGAGGATTTAATTATTTTTGAGTTCTAAGTATATTTTAGATATGAGACCCTTGTCTGTTGTGTGGCTAGTGAAAAACTTCTCCCAGTCCATGGACTTTCTATTGATCTTGCTAACTATGTCCTTTGCCATGCAGAAACTCTGCAGTTTCATGCAATACCATTGGTCCAACCTTTCTTTGATTTGTTGTGTTTCTGGGACTTCGTTAAGAAAATTTTGGCCTGTGCCAAGGAGACCTAGGGTTTCTTCTATTCCTTCCTGTAATATTTTCATGGTGTCTGCTTTTACTTCGAGGTCTTTGATCCATTTGGAGTTGATTCTAGTGCAGGGTGATATATAAGGATCTAGTTTTGGTTTTCTACAGGTGTTTAACCATTTTTGCCAGCATCATTTACTGTCTTTCTTCCATTCTATTTTCTGGCTCCCTTATCAAAGATTAGGCTTCCCCATGACCCAGCAATCCCGCTTCTGGGCATTTACCCAAATGATCAAAAACAAGATGATACTAAAACTACCAGCAAAACTATGTTTATCGCAGCATTATTCACCATAGCTAAGATATGGAATTAACCCAGATACCACATTTGCTAGGAAATGGAAAGACTTGGAAAAATCATATTAAATGAAGTAAGCCAGCCCCAAAGAAATATGGGTCCCCTGGTTTCCCTCATTTGCAGTAATTAGTATACAACTAGGATAATTTTATCAGATGAGCAGAAAAGCTCAAAAGCTAGGTACATATGTCCATAGAAGATGATGCTAAGCAAAATGACCCCCAAGATATGGACACAAGGGGTCTTTCTTTGTTGTTGTTTTTAATGTACTGTGTGATTTTTTGTTTCCTTTGTATGTTCTTCCCCCCTGTTGTCACTGTACTTAATTTTGGTAACCTGCATCTTATAAATACATTTGCCTAATTTGGGGAGGGGAAGGTGAATAACAAAAAGCTGAAACAAGGACACAGGATGACCCATTGCAACAATGATACACCCAAGACACTATCCTGGAAATGAACTTTACAACTTTGGAGATAAGAGGAGTGAGGGAGGTAGGAGAGGGAAGGGTTACTGGGAGAACAACAAAGGAAAGGGTGACAATGTTCAACAAGAAATGTACTCATTACCTTAGTTATGTAACTGTAACCACTCTGTAACCAGTATCTTTACAATATAAGATAATTAAAAAAAGAAAATACCGGCTGGGAAGGTGACTCAGTGGTAGAGTGATTGCCTTGTATGCATGAGACCCTGGGTTTGAGTCCTCACCACCACATCAGCAGAAAAAGCCAGAAGTGGTGCTAAGACTCAAGTGGTAGAGTGCTATCCTTGAGCAGAATACCAGAAGGACAGCGCCCAGGCCCAGAATTCAGACACCACAAGCAGAAAAAAAAGAAAATACATATACACACATAGATGTATGCTAATGGAGAAAAAATTCCTCATTCTATTGTTCTAATCTTAAAGTGTTTAGGAAAGAAACATGATTAAGCTGGACATGGTGATATAGTCCTATGATCTCAGCATTCACACGGGGCTAGTCAATCATAAATGTATATATTAATAATTTGAGGCCAGCCTGAGCTTCATCACAAGTCATTTTCTCAAAAAAGAAATCAAGAGTAAATTTTTAGTCCCTTAATGATATTTATAATTGTTTAAATTTTTTCTGCACTACTGTTCCAGCCCTTTCATTTCTAGTCTGCTTTTGTGATGGGGAGGGTCTTTCTAACTTTCTCTGAGCTGACCTTGAATTTATTATTTTCTTACTTCCACTCATAAATAGCTGGGATTATCCTTGTGCACCATCATGCACAACAAAAATCATATAGCTTTTGCGACACATGTAAAAATGCCTTTAGTGGAAATACCTAGTGCTTTACTAAACAATTTGAGATGTTATAACTTAAAGCTATGCAATTCAAGAGATAGTTTATTATGAAAAATACCACTTCTTTCTTCCTTCAAAGAAGATCCTCAATTTAAAGTCAAAGACTGTCATTGAAGAAGTCCAAATGACTATTGATCTTATCATGCTTACTCTCATTGTTTCCAACTGATGACCAATTTAGAGGGGATGTAAGTAAACCCTGGGATCATGCCCAGACTGCTGTTTTGTTCTCACTAACCACAGGCTCATTGTGGCAACACTGTCAATATTCATCCTCTTATGCCATGTATAAACATTGAAACTTCTGAGCCCAGAAAAAGAGCTCTTAAGGAAAGTAGCCAAGTGAAAAAATTGCCAAATCAAACATCATTAGACTTGTTTATGAACCCAGGGCTATTATAATCAATCAAATCTTATGATCTACTAGTGGGCTATTCTATTGTCCACTCTCTACTATCCTGGAGCACTCCAATTAGAGTACTTAAGATTGAACTTATGTCTGTAATTGAGATCCTACCATTTTCCCCAGAATTCAGTTCTACTGTGTATGAATGGAATGATTTTGTTGAGTCTAGGGATCCAAATGTGTCCAAGTTGATATAAACATTCTCTACACTCTTAAAATTTTGAGCAACATAGTTTCAAAGTGCATTTTTATTTCCTACACATAAGAATGCTCATGAGGAATTTATCTCAAGAAACTGGTTAAGTAGTTCTTTATCATCATCTTCTGATTCTTCTCTTTTGAACTCCATTAAGGAGTTTTGAACATCTTTATGTGAATATCTGGAGAGAACAGCATAAACATCTATATCTCAATATAAAAATGTGATCTGAACAGAGTATATGGTTGAGTACACAGCAGGTAAAGATTAGATACTGGCCAGTACTGATTTGGCTATCCTCAGACTATCACTTAAACTGATTTGTCCCAAACTTCACCATTTACCAAAGAACTTCTGAAACTCTTGTCCATTTGTGCCTACACAAAATCCTAAACTAAACTGAATAACGTGGTTTCATTTTGGTCTAGGAAACCTGTGTATTCTCAATTTAAAAATGAAGGTAAAGGACACTTCAAAGATAAAAAGCTGTACCTAACTCAGTCATTATATTAGCTTTTGTGATTTTTGAAACATCTTATGAAGCTGAGCTCACAAGAGTGTGCCAGGATCCTAGCTTATTTCTAAAGTAGTCTTACTTACTTTTACCTGAGCTGGCCTTGAACTGTGATTGAGCTCAACTTTCTGAGTAGCTGAGACCAAAGGTATCTCATTAAACTCATCCCTTTTTTATTTTCTTAAAGTATATATTGCTTCATTGGAGGTTGGTTTATTTGCAAAAAAAAAAAAAAACAAAAAAACCAAGAATCTGTGGTTACACTTAGAACTTGGGTTTTCTGGAATATTGTTCAGAGACAAGTTCAAAAACACAAATCTATGACTCATAAAAATGGAGAGTTTTGTTAATCAGAGAAAGGAAAAACAGCCAAAAGTTGGAGACTGTTTCCTCTAAAGTATATATGATTTGAGGTAGAAGTGTGTCCACTCCTCATCTCCAATTGAGTGATCAGATAAAATGGTTCCTAGACACCAGGCTTTATCTTTAATTTTGTAAGCTATTGAGATGTTCTAGTTAAACTCAAACACTAGAAATAACCTTAAATATTATGGACTGTGGCTCATGTCTCTCAGGAGGCTGAGATTTGAGAAGCATGATTAGAAGCCAGATAGAGCAGGAAAATCTGTGAGCCTCATCTCGAATTAGCTACCCAAAGCCTAGACGTAGGGCTGTGACTCCAAGTGGTAGATCAGTAAGCTTGAACAAATCAAAGCTCAGGGATAGAGCCCAGGCCTGACTTCCAACCCTATGACTGACCAAAGAAAAAAAGAAAAAAAAATAAAGCAGAGGACCATGTGTGCAAGTTTGCACTCCCAACTTTAAAGAGTTCAAACTTTGACTTTCTAATACTATAATAGAATTCAGAAAGCTTTCTTTCTTTTTTGCCAATTTTTTTAAAAACAAAGGAGGAGGCAACAATGCTTGATAAGAAATGTCCTCGTTACTTGCTCATGTAACTGTAACCCCTCTGTACAGTATTTTCACAATAAAAATCTTATTTTAAAAAACCCATACTGATTTGTACTTCTAATGCATATTGCTAGTTTTCTATATGAACTAAAGTTTACATACAAAATGTTTAAATTCTAAATAGTGGACTCACTGCCTCAACCATAAGTGTAGATGAAAACAGAAATACCATCCCTAGTGCTTGCCAGGATTTGATCCTATGTCATGAAAAAAAATCATCTATATTGAATTATCATGTTCATACTTTTGGATTTCAAATTGGTCTCTCCAAGCATGATTTTTGTATGTTTTTTGTAGTGAATATTCTAATCTTCTGTTACTTGAAATCACAGATGGAAACCACAAAAATGGAGTCCTTGTATCTTAGTGCCTGAGTCCATCAAGCAGGGAATAATGGGCACCAGTGAAGCCTGTGGAAAGGGGTTGCAAACCAGAGGTAAGGAGATTTTACAATATTCTCCTACATGTGCAGCTCAAAACCATGTTATGCTTATAGGTGTTGATTATTTTGTGTTTGGTATAATATTATTGAATTGTAATTTTAATATATGCCTATATACATATGGAAAAACAATTTCTTTTTTAAGCTTTTTTAAGTGCATCTTAGAACTGAAACACAATGTAATCAAGTATTTATTTTCAGTCATAGCCATCCTCAGTGGTATAGTTGCAAAAATACATATTGGATGTCAGCCAAGGAATGAAACATATGCCAGAATTAGACCCAAAGGTATACTATATTTCATACATTGTACTTTTCATTCATATTTTATGAATGAAAAGTATACCTGAATCTATTGACAAATCCTGCTGCTCATGTTTTAGGCATAATTATTATATATTATTATATTCTATATATTCTATATATATATATATATATTCTATGTGTAATACAAATGGGAAGGATCTATTTCATTTTCTGGAAGACAATATGAATAGGCTTCTGTATCTGACCAGAAGTGCCTCTTAGCATCACTGACAAGAAGGGATAGAAAATAACTGTAAAGCACTCAGAGACTCATCATACTGATCACAGGTTTTTTTCATTCATAATCCTGGTATCAGTTATACCAGGCTTGATGAGAAGGTCTTTATTCTTAAAATCTGATCACTTTGTGACTATATGCATGGGCACAGAGAAATTGTTTATTGTGAGATCAACTGTATTATATTGGTTTTATAAATAGTGTTCTTTAAAACACTTATTTAGAATAAAGTTTCTCCTTCTTCTCAGGCTATATTATGAAATGTATTCCTGTCTAAACATTGATAAATGTATTTGGCTGGACAGATAATTTGATTCAGAATGAATAAGAGGCTACCTCTGTGTGAATTAAAATGAGGCACAAAGTTTCCTTAGGTTCTTTTATGTCCTTTGCCCATATCACAAAATTGTTGTAATAATGTGACCTTCTATGAACAAGTTTTTGTCTATTTGGTGCTGGAAAATTTCTATCAAATGTCTTAATTATCAATGCTGCCCTTTGGACCACTTCTTTAAAAATGTTGCCTTTGTTCAGTGAACAGGTGAGATGTGGAGTTTAATTCTCTATATGCTATTGTATCATAATATTTTAAAATGACAGAACCAACTATAAGCTATGCAGTGATTTTTTTCCTCAATGATGTTGGCATTGATCATATCAAAGGCAAATTATTTCATCAGTCCTAGAAATATTCTACCTTGGATCCTAGTTTAAATGCATTACCAGCTTGGCACTTGATAATCCTTTTGGTTATATAGATAATATGGCCATTTTCTTAACCTAGACACCAAACTAAAGATTCTTAATTTTCAGTTCTTGGATCATTTATACTTTTAAAATGTTAGAACAGGTCATTGAATTTTGAAGCAGTTGAAAACAGTTTAAAAATCACTGTAATATATTTTTTCCAAGTCTTTCCATTTCCTAAAAAATGGGAAAATGTCAGTCTTTCTGATGGAGGCATAGAATTCCATTCTGTATTTATACCACATTTTCTAGATCCATTCATCTACTGAGGGACATATGTTTTGCTTCCATATCTTAGCTATGGTAAATAATGCTGCAATAAAATAGTTGTGCTGGTAGCTGGTCTTGTTTGTGATCATTCAGGTAAATGCCCAAAAGTGGGATTGCTAGGTCATAGGGGAGCTCTATGTGGAGTCTTTTGAGGAACCTCCATACTACTTTCCAAAGTAGTTGAACAAGTTTACACTCCCACGAACAATGCAGTAAGGTTCCCTTCTATCCACATCCCCTCCAGCATCTGTTGTTATTAGAGTTCTTGATTATAGCCATTCTAACTGGGGTGAGGTGGTATCTTAATGTTGTTTTGATTTGCATATCTTTTATGGCTAGAGAGGTTGATCATTTCTTCATGTGTCTGTTGGTCATTACTCATGTAATAGTAACCCCTCTGTATGGTATTTCCACAATAAAAAAACTTCTTAAAAATCACTTTAAAACCATCATAGAAAATATGAAACATTAGCATCAAGTATTAACAAAATCATCCCAAGTACAAGAGCACAGTAAACTTTGTTTCATATAAACTAGGAGCCTTCTGTAGCCTCAATCACAAGAATTTAGGTAAATGAAAATGTAGCAAATTTCTTTGCATAACAGAATTATGCCCAAACCTTGGCAGAGGGTGTAGATTTTGAAGTGAAACCAACTCTGGGAAAATTCCAGAAAACCACTAAGCTGTAAAGAAGGGAGTGCATGCCCGTGTATATGTGCATGCGCGTGCGTATATGTGCATGCGCGTGCGTGTATGTGTATGATTTTGTGTGTGTGTGTGTGTGTGTGTGTGTGTGTGTGTGTGTAAGTTAGGAGGTTAAAAACAAGAGCATAGGGGCTGGGAAGGTGGCTCAGTAGTAGAGCGCTTGCCTTGCATGCCTGAGGCCCTGGGTTCAATTCCTCAGCACCACATAAGCAAAAAGAAAAAAGCCGGAAGTGGTGCTGTGGCTCAAGTGGTAGAGCTCTAGCCTTGAGCTGAAGAGCTGAGGGACAGCGCCGAGGCCCAGAGTTCAAGCCCCATGACGGGACTCCAAAAAAACCACAAACAAAAAAAGAAAAAAACAAGAGCATATGGCAAGTACATAAAGTTACATATACAAATATATTTATATATATTTTCTTAGAACACACATATAATATTTTTATTGTGAAAATACCATACAGAGGAGTTACAATTACATGGGCAAGCATTGTTCCCATCCCTTCCCATACTCCCCCCACCTCCCCTGACCCGATCCTTATCCTCCCCCCCCCCACCAAAGTTGTAAAGTTCGTTTTTCGACATAATAACTTTACATCTCATTGTTGCAATGGGTACACCTGTATAATTTTCTTTATGTGTATATATATATATATATATATATATTCAAAAGAAATTTGGATATCTGAATATCTGAATACAGAACAGGGAGCCATTTCCCCTCCTCCTTCATTTTTTACCTCTCATCCTGAACAATCAGATGCTGATCTGTGAGAGCCTGTTTATTTATTTCCTGAAGAAATAGAATTAGAGTAGCTGTGCATTTTGGACAACAGGGAAAGGATGGTGGAAAGGTGAGGCTAGGTGGAAATCAGGAGTACAAAACAAAGCTTGAGAAAGAATTCAGTCGCCTCATCCACTAGCTAGCTGTGCAGCATTCACTGTATCCCCTTCCGCCAGACAGGAGGTTGGCTGTTCTTCCCTATGGATAAGATGTCGTAGTAATAATGACATTTATGAATAAACAATATAAAGATACTTGCACATTGTATAGTCTTGTAGCATCAACAACCATACCATGTGCCCAGCATCTGACTCAAAACAATGTATTGTTAGTCCCTTTTTGGCATACTGATACTTAATTATGAATCACTAGATATTAAAAATAAGAGCCTCCTATAAGAAAGGAAGCAGGCAGGGAGTAGAAAAAAATACAAAATCAATATAGGAAATTGAACATCCAAGTCTCAAGAGTTTAAGAAAGAGGAAATAATGTCAATGAGGAAAATGCCACAAATTAAAATAATAGGAAATACAGGATGAGAAAAACTCCTATTTAGGAAAATTTTATATCTAAATTTGTTATCAAAAAGATCAAAAGAGACATTTATTCTTTAAGAAAGGCTCAAGCACAGAGCACAGTGGCTTGCACTTAAAAATTTAAACAAACCAGCATAACCACATTACACAACTTAGTATCATAAGGCAAAAGGAAATATAGGAATGATTATCAAGTGTTCATTGAGAATCATTTTTACCAAGAATTCCTATCAGATTATTTAAAAATATTATGGTTAGGTAGCAGAAAAAAACGATCCAGAAGTATTTTATCAATACATCGTCTTATGAATGACCTAGAGGATCTGCTTCATCATAGATCATGAACAAACCACAAAACGAGATACCCTACCTAGGAAAGAAGCTGTTCATATTCTCAGGGTGAAAGAGAAAGGGAGCTTCATGGTGAAAACAGTCTACAAGCTTAATCTTGGATTAAATGGGTCAGAGTATGAAATCCATAAAGTGTCTAGAGGGCAGCTTCCAAATAAAAATTGGAAAGTGGATTATTTTTCAGACTGGCTTTAAACCATTTACTGGGAAGCATTGCACAAGCATAAAAGCACTTACTTAGATTCAAACAAAAGGTTCCACATAAAATATGAAGGAACTTCAGGAAATAAAAATGGTTATTGGAGGTATAGGCCAGTGTATATCTGCAGCTCTTCAGCAAGCCATATGTCATAAAGACAGAAACATTAAAATATATATTCCACAAACATTGGGATTCAACAATAGGATCTAGGATGTTTATATCTCCAAGAGAACACAAATTTTAAAAATCTAATGTTAAGGACGTAATTGATGGAACTTTGAAGTATACTAGATAATACTATAAGAAGTTTTAAATTAATAATTCAAGGTAAGGAATTAGATAGGTGTTCATGCTCTAATCTCAGCTATTCAGGAAGAGTAAGAGGATCACAAATACAAAGGCAACGGTAGAGGCACCTCTTCTCCAAAGAAAATAAAACCGAAGTTGTCAGGGATACATATAGCTCAAGTAATAGTTTGCCTAAGATGCCTGAAGATCCAAAATTTGATTCCTAGTACTGCCAAAAAGTCAGTAAATACAGGAGTTAAGTTAGTATTTCCTTCACCAAATTCAATGCTGCATGCACTTATATATTATTAATTTTATACAAAATTTAAGTTTAAAAGGATTAACTTAATAGTCTATGTATTTAAGTGACTACATAGAAATGGTTAGACTAGTAAAGCCCAGGAAGGAAAGTTAGAAAGAAAGTTAAAAGAAAGTAGGAAAGGTGGACGTTTCCTGTAGAGAGCATTCTGCTGTCTTCATTTTTAGCTGGGTCTTGATTTTGCATGAACATTTGTAGGTGGAATGACCAAATATATGGCCCTATCTTAATCCTTTTTAACTTGAGCATGTGA